AGTTTTTGTTTACATAATATATATGTGTGTGTATTGTGTATATTTAAAATGCATATGTAAATACACACACATACAGCATATATTATGAAAATATTTACATGTATAATATATAAAAATAACGTATTTTTCTTAAATATATACATGCATGTGTGTGTATACATATATACATAATAAATGTTAAAATTTATTTTATTTGTATTTAAAAATTGAGTTGTATTATTACTAATTTAAGGTAATATAATTTGATTTTAATATAATTTTAATATAATATTTCTGGTCTGTTTTTCTCCCCTTTAGCTTCAAGATCAGTCAATTGTTGAGCTTGTTTTAAATGAGTATCTAGGCACATCCCCTGACAGGACCAAAATCCGAGATGGTTTTCGAGAGATGTTAGGAGACTTTATTTTCAACATCCCAGCTCGCAAGGTAGCGAATTACCACAGAGGTGAGAGTTTGTTGAAATATAACGGTTTATTTTGCTAAAGGCTTTTTCGATGATACTCAAAGGTAATTGGGGATTTTGTCTATTTCTAGATGCCGGTGCACCAGTATACATGTACGAATTCCAGCATCCTCCCAGTCTACTTCAAAAGAAACGACCTAGTTTTGTTGGATGTGACCATGGAGATGAAGTTATATTTGTTTTTGGTTTTTGCTTCGCAGATGGACGTATAAAGCTGGAAGGTACGGCCCGAATAATATTAGGAAACATAACAAATGATTTTAGTGGTTTAGAAGTAAATAATCTAAAGGTGCAGTCGCATTAGTGAATTTCCAGTGAAATTTTGTGGACAAAAAGGTCCATTGTCTATTATCAATAGTGTATTGATGTATGAAGCTCAGCTCACACAGCGGTCACTTTCAAATCAAGCGGCTTTCTGTTGATCAACGCCACGAATTTGCATGACCAACCTGAATCTGTTGCAAAATCTGCATAGGGAAATTTTTCACCCGTATTGGAAAGTTTCCAATTAAGCAGATTTCTGTTAAAAGTACTTGATTTCAACAACAAACAGTAAGATTTCAGAAAAGGAAGAAAGATTTCCCAAGATTTTGCAATGGGTTCATGTTGGTCATGTGAATTTGCATCTTGTGACCGCATCTTTTGCATCTTGTGACCGCATCTTAAGATCTCAAACTTTGATTTCATTTAAATCACAACTGGATTCTATAGATAGTGACAATCAATACAGTGTCTCTCTTAGGTTTTCTGCTTGATGTCTTTCTTCCTTTTTTAATTCAGAGGAACTCTCAGAAGAAGAGAATGAACTCTGTAGAACTGTCATGGCTTACTGGGGAAACTTTGCTCGCACTGGGTAAGTGATACTTACCGTAAAGTTGTCCAGTTGATATTTTTTTGGGTGGTAAAGTCAGAAATGTTAAGGTGATACAACTGTCCTGATATCATGCTGAGGAAAAAAACCTAATTCAAAGGATGAAATTCTTAAAATGAAAACATTAACTATAATTACTATCTATATTATATTTACTATATCTTAGAAAATTAAATAAGCAGTGAAGCAGCTTTGATTTAATATGAATATGATATAGAATATAATAAATATGAAAAACTGTTGTCCGCTAAATCAAATCATGTGGTGTGACCAACATGCAGGGAAAAAACAAAACGGGAAGTGATATCCTAGAGAGAACCTCCGCAGATCCTCATGACTGTATGTCAAAATAAAAAAAAATCCCTTAAAATATAAGGTCATTTGGCCGGCTAATTCAGGTGTAAAATGTCATGTGGTGCGACTCTGAAAAATTCATGACTTTAATGAATTCATGATTTTTATTATATACTTTTTTCATGATATTTAATAACATTTTATGAAAAATATATTTCAAACTTGGGATCACTCACATGCATTCAGGTTTATCTGATAGTTACACCACATTACATTTTT